CGGTGCGATATTGACCGAGATCGTACATCTTTTGTTTTTTTTTATTTTTTCTATATATAAAAAATCATGTGATATGACGTAATTTCGACCATTTCGACTTTTTATTTCGACTTTGACTTCCAAAGTCGAAACATTTCGACTTTTGGGTTTTCATTTCGACTTCATGTATAATTGTAATACAATAATCATTTTAAGTTCAGATTATAATGTGATAATTCTTATACCATATGGTAATTGATTCAAATTTTGATTATAATGCAAGTGTTATAATTGTAATTCAATAATCATTTTAAGTTTCAGATTATAATGCAAGTTTTACTTTAAATTTCAATTATCATATGATAATTGTTTTAAGTTTTGATTATAATGTAGATATTAATTATCATGCGAATATTAATTTAAGTATTATTTCACTACAGCATCTATATTAATTGTTTTGTTTATACTGTATATCTAAATCTAAACGGTTCATTAATATTGATAAAAAACAGCAATTTTAAATTTTCAAGATGACAAGAAATAGGTCTATTTTGAATATTATTGGTAATAAGCTGACAAAACGACTATTTCAAATAAAAAAGATAATAAACTTACTTATTATTGTAATAAGCATAATAGAAAATTAGTTTTAAATTAGACTAAACATTTTATAAATCAGCAAGTAATTCAACAGATTTAATAACTATTCGTGGTAATTCTGTAATTAAACAATTATTTCTAAATTTTGACAAATTGCTTGATACTGGATCATATGCCAAAATTGAATCACAAGCTTCGAGGAGTGAAGTGATTGATGATGAGTCATAAACTTTAAGAATTAAAATAATTGAACATTATTTTAAATTACTGAATTTATCTTGAAGGTGTATAAGAAAGTATATAAGTCATCTTCAAGTTACTAATTATTTGAGTGACTCTAAAGATAGATAACATATTGAGGTTTCTTTATACAAGAATAGTGAATATAACAAAAGATGACATATTGAATCTCCTATGAGTGAAGTCAAAAGTGAATTAGATGATTTACTTATTTCTGAAACTTTTGAAAATTATTCGTTTCTAAAATATGAACTATATCAAGATGAAGAAGAGGAAGTAACAATTAATGATCAATTTGCATGAATTTTATTATGAATAATGAACTTTTGAATTAGATTTAATGTATCAGAGACTGTCACTAATTCTCTAATAAAATTATGAAATTAGTTCTAACTGAAATCGGTGATGATAGATTCTTTATTTAGCAAAGAAATCATTTAGTCTTAAAGACTGATTTTATTGTTTCGTATCTTGTACAAAATATCATAAACTTCACAACAAATATGAATTGGTAAACTTTCAGCAGAATGATACTTTATCAATTATGAAATGCAATTACATCAAATTTCTGTTTTATCTATTCACAGATTACAACCTTGTAATACATCAGAATTACACTTTTAATTAATAAAGTACGAATTCTTTTTATTAGCATTCAAGTTCGTAAAAATAAAATTTGTGATTGTTTAAATTAGTATCATTTGTAAAAACTGATTATAGTGAATTCAATATAAAGAAAAATTTTTAATATTTATATTATGATAATTATTATAAATAATATAAATAAATTTAACTAACCTGTTGACTTGAGGTAATAGGTGTAGGCAATGCAATACAATATCTTTGCGTGTTTCCAACCATTGAATAAGATGGTTTTCATCTTGAAAAAAAGTTTCCTTATTGTGATAAATCTGTTGTTTTAGCTTTTTTGGTTGAGTAGATGATAAAGAATTATTAGTATAAGGTGTATTTACTCCTATAGATTGTGAGATATTTAAAGAAGTGGTTGAATAAGAATTATAAACATTTTTTTCATGTAATTCTTTATGTAAAGTGAATTGTTATGTAAATTGAGTGAAAAAAATGTTTCATTATCCGAAAATTCGTCTCCTGAAGATCAAATTCGGATTATTTAATATTGGAGATGCCTGTGATGGTACTTGATGTTTATACATATTAGCTGCAAAGGATAATTGTGATGGAGTTTTATTATGGTCATTCTGATTTGATGATCCATATCTTGAACTTGAGATTTTTTTTTGTATATTGCAAGTTATGTTTGATGATTCAGCTTTTCTATAAAAGGTGAAAATACTTGTTGATTCGGTTGTCTCACTATAGAAGATGAATAATTTTTTGTTGAATTTCAGCAAGGTGTTGTTGATGCTGCATTTGTTGATGATGATCTTGTTGTTGATCTCGTTGTTCTCGTTGTGGGTAATTTTGATGATGATCATCTTGTTATTCTTGTATCTGCGGGAAATTTGTTGTTGATGATCTTGATGATGTGATGCTCTTCTTGTTGTGGAAAAATTTGTTGTTGATGCTCAGCAGGGACTTGTTGATACTCTCGTGCTTGTTGAAATTGTGAAGATTCCGGTTGATTTGAAGTTCCAGTTTCCAAATTTGGCTCAACATTTTCTTTAAATAAATCATTTGATTAAAATATCTTTAGTTACAAATTAATTGCAGTAAATAAACAATGTATATTTACCTTTTTTTGCCTTTAGCCTTTGTTTTGTATGATTTTGTGTCTTTTTTGGTTTTGTATCTAAATTTGCTTGTGTATCATCATTCTTCTTTGAATTTCTTGTTACTGAATTTTCTACAAAAAAAAAGTTGAATTAATGTTAACTTTATAAAAACTAATACTTACGGGGAGTGTATTGCTTTTTTGGTGGCATATTGATTTAATATTTCTATCGAAAAGATGGTTAGCAACGAGAAGAAAAAAGATTTCAATTTGTTTATTAAAGGTTTATATATATTTTATTTCCATAACAGTGCGTCAATGACATAATAATAGCGTAAACTTTTATGTAAATCAAAATAAAATTAAATTAGCCTTTCGATTGAATCATGCATAACAAATTATGGCGCAGTAGCAAATCACATATAAATTAGCTATTAAATCGACAGTATGTATTTAGAAGCTATAATTTTAGATATTTTATAATCCTTAATAAACCATTAGTAATTTAATAATTTAAGGTCAGATTCCTAAATTTTTAATTCAAAAGGTAATAAAGTGTAAAAAAACGCGTGCTATTGCCAAATATTTGTATACTTTGAAATTTATTGATTTTAGCAAAGTACGTACTGTACATTCCTTATGTTAAGGACTTTACTCACAATCTTCCTTTGTATGTTACAGAAGTATAAAAATGATAATATAGCTCCTGCCTTCTTATCGCCCGTAGATTAACCCGTTGCCACTGGTAAGTGATTTAGTCAACGCGATCTGGCAGTTTTGCTAAATTTTGATATCGCCGTGTCAAATTTGCTAATAATATCGAATACTTATGCTTTTCATTCCTCCTTAAGTTTTTCGTAATACTTCATTATTTTTGACGCGTACTAAATTAAATTACGTTTATTGTACTTCTTTTCTAATTAGTATCAAAATCATTAAAACGGAGTTACGATGAGATGCAAGTTGACAGGACTGGCTTGATCTGCGATGTTCTCATTCAACCATTCGAAATCATCACAAGTCAAGCGTATGATTATGCCTCTTATTGTTGCACCACTAACTCGAAAACTTCACGTATCCTTCTACGAGAAGGTGAAGTTTCCCAGCTTGCTGAGCTTATTGAAACCAATGAAAATGAATGTGGAAGTAACATACCAAAACACATTCTCATCTACTTACCGATATAGTTGAAAAGCAGAATATGAATAACATATCATACACTGGGGAGCAGTGATGGCAATTACAAGGCCATTTGCTATTTTTTCAAATGACCTTGGTCATTTGACTGAAATTTATAATAAAAGTGAGGTCATTTGAGGTCATTTCAAGTCATTTCAAGGCCATTTGCCAACACTGGAGTAGATAGTTTGATCAGAATCCCGCTCCAGATTTTTCATGATAGTCTTGGTGGAGGAATGCTTCCAATTAAAATTGATCGGAACAGCAAGGATCAGGGTACGACAATGATAGGTAATAAAAGACCAGATTTTTTATGTTGGACGAACAATGTACTTATATTTAAAGGCGAAGAGAAGGTCGAAGTTAAGGAATTTCAAGATGCCGTAGAAGAACTCGAAGAAAAATTCAATAAGTTCGACCCTACGTATTTTGGAAATATACAATTTATGTTTGTTACGCCGTAGTAGGACCAAGATTGCGTTTTTTCGCAATTGACGGATCGCTAAACACAAATTCGCCAAGACGTTTAGTTGCGCTTTCAAATAAATTGGAACTTAATAACCGCGGAGATCGTGTTTCTATCATCTGTACAATATTGCACGTATTATGAAGACTGTGAGCAATACTATCCCCGAAAAGATCGTTCCGCTTGGAAAACGGTTGAAAACTGAAAAATCGATGATTACAATTTTAGAAGACTCAGTAGAGAAAGGGTCTCGCTGGAATATCTTCCATGTGGTGGAAACATGGATGCTCGTATCGATTTTTTATCGGACATGTACAAGGACATCCAAGGCAAGTTCAAATAAAAGAAGACCCTAAAATTAAGTATCGAGGAACTTACAAGGTTGTGTTGGAAACGAGAGGCCATGCCATGTTTGTCGACTGAGAAATGAAGAAGAAGTACTTACAATGGCAAAGAGTGTACTTGGTTACATAAAGGGGATTACGTTCATCGTAACATTCAGTTATCAAATATTCTCTTTGTTGCTGGTGTCACAGATTATAAATATGTTCTTATCGATTTTGAACATGCTAGTATAGGTGGATTATAAGTGTGAACATTTGAAGGATTGGGACAATGCAACACTCACGAAGGGTAATAAGTATACATCACAATCTGATATGTATTAATTTGGAAAGATGCTTGAAAACTTAATATGGTGAATTCAGATGCTGGGAAGAAGTTTTTGGCCGGTTTGAAAAATAAGAGAATTAATTCAAAAAATGCACTTAATCACGGGTATATAGAAAACCGGTACGGTACGAATGGTTTGCAGGTCGGTACGATTCGCGTACCGTACCGTACTGGTTCTTTCTATAATAAAGAGGGATGTTATAAAGCCAGTACAGTACGGTACCGTACGATACAATTTTCGCGAATCGTACCGATCTGCAAAATCGCACCGTACCGTTTTTCTATATATCCCTTAATCACGCAGGTTATGCGCCTACAACTTTGTAATATCTGACATACTTTATTCTTGCTAATATAATATATTTATTACATTTCATTTATTTTAATCCCATTGAAAAAATAATGATTTATTCTGCGTCGCATTTATCTGCTAGGTCACACTTAATAGAAATAGTACTCTTTTTTATCTAAAAAATACGTCCAGCCTTATTTTAATGTATTAGTTTTATAATTTCATAGCAAAGTATTTTTAACAAACAATTAAATGTATAAATAAAATCTTCGGTTCCGATCATTATAAATTTAATATTTTTATTTTAGATTGCTATTGGTTGTTTTAAAAGAGCATTTACTCTACCTAAATACGGAGCAAAAATCATTATAGAATTATACATCCCAGGAAATTTATAACATTCCGGTGAAAGAACCACCACCTTAACAGAAAATGATTAATTAATTTACGGCTGTGATCAGATATTGAGGTAATTATTAACTTTGATAAAAATAAATTTTTACAAAACGTTCTAAAACTTTCTTTTTTATTTGACTCTGAATAATTATTTAATATAAAAAAATTTTTAATTTATGATTTAAAAAATGCATTCAATTATTTATCTCTGCTGCTGTAGAGATTGGAATTGGTTATTAGCAAAATCATATAGAATTTCACGTTTTTAATAAATTCAATTCAATTTTATTTTTTTTGTCTTTTCTGATGGCATAAAAAATTTTCCAAGAATTTATAAAGCAAGAGAAATGAAAATTGATTCTATGAACTTAAAAGAATAATAATACCTATCTATTACATGCTTTGTTATTTTTTGAATATTTTTCAAAGATTAACTTTCTGCCAGAAATTTTGTGTAACCAATTTATGATTGGACATCTTTGTTTCTGGAAAAGGCAATATCTATAGTGTGTAGCTGTACAACCCTTGTTAATACATATAAGGAATTTTTTTTTTAAATTTTTTTTTTCGTAAACCTTATCGTCATGCAAAGTTACAATACTGACCAAGTTCCCGATAGTTCTGGTAAGTATTTTTTCGATATATTTTAAACGGGTAATCATTTCATAAAAAATGGTAGTCTATAATAGTTATCGATAAATTTTATAAAATGTCGTAAGGATATAGTTTACCACGGAGATGTTTCAATTGAAAATGAGGCCAGAACGACCAGCATTGTCGTGGGACAATGTTTGTGAAATTGAACATAAAAATGTACAATATTAGTAATCGATTGTCTTCATCATATACCCATAAAATTTCTCAGAGTTTCAGACAAATATAAGTGGCTCAATTATCCTTGTCAGCCCATCGACGGCGACTGCGTCAACGAGCGGAATGGAAACTGAACACGTTGCATATCAACAACCATCAATTGATTTATTTCAAAAAGATCCCTCTAGTCCTTCGGATGGGAAAGAGCAATGCGGCCAAAAAGACGATGAAAATATTCCCAAGTTTCAAATTAACGAATCTTTATCTAATGAATATCAAGAACGTAATAAATCAGAAAACGTAATTCCAATCGGTAGAGATCAACTAATGAATACAACCATGTTCGATAACTTTTTAATTGATACGCAGATGCAAAACAACAAATCTACCCAAGACTTGATTGAACATATTCCTGGTTTGTACCATTTATTAGACTTATACAAAGACGATGGATCTAATGGTCTTGGTATGTTTCTTTATTTGATTTTACGAATTAGAATTCTGAATAAATAATTGAAACTATACTCACCAAAGTATTACAAAATTTTTTAGTCGATAAAACAATTATCTCCAAGGATTTTCTAAAGAAACTATGCGATGATATGGCTCCATCAAGTTTTAAGTCTATTTCT